TGTCAGTGTGAGTGTGTGTCAGTGTGAGCATGTGTCAGTGTGAGTTAGTGTCAGTGTGCGCGTGTGTCAGGCTCGTGAATGTGGATGGTGAAGGGCTCTGGAGAACACCAGAGCCGAGACTCCAATAATCCCGTGTCTCTGCAGCTCTGCAGCTCTAATCCTGCTCTCGGAGTGCTGACAACAGTGTTTCCAGGCCTCTGAGCCCTTTACCCAGCCGCTAACAGGTGTGATGGGATGATGACAGAGGTGGGTGTCACTGGGTGTCACTGGGTCCCGGGACCGGTTCACCTCAGCAGTGCTGAGTAGCTCCGACCCAGAAATCCTCGCAGTGAAACCAGGAGCCAGGGCCGCTCACTGACATTGAGGCTGCTCTTTGGCACGGAGGGTGGTGGGAGTCTGGAACAAGCTGCCCAGCCATGCTGTTGAGGCTGATTCCCTTGAATCCTCCAAAACCTGGATGCAGGAGATTTTCAGATCAACTGGCTATGGATCAGCCCGCAAACTGCCCATGCTCTGTGATACCACACTACAGAACTGTACAGCACAGTATACTATAGTATGCCACACTACAGCACTGTACAGTACACTGTACTATAGTATACCACACTACAGCACTGTACAGTACAGTATACTATAGTATACCACATTACAGCACTGTACAGTACACTGTACTATAGTATACCACACTACAGCACTGTATAGTATACTGTACTAGAATTTACCACACTACAGCACTGTACAGCACAGTATACTATAGTATACCACACTACAGCACTGTACAGTACACTGCACTGAAGCACAGCAGAATAATCTACAGCAGATTTCAGCACTCTATACTAGTACAGCATGGGACATTACATTATCCTACAGTATAGTGCACTACAGTATGGTATGGAATGTTAAAGTAACCTACAGTACAGTATGGCACATTACAGTAGACCATGGTACTGTACACTGTTGGAAATTACAGTATTCTACAATATAGCACACTTCAGTACAGTATGGGACATTACAGTATCCTACAGTATGAACTAGCATGCAACCAGGAAAAAATAAGTTGTAACATCAGGTCTAGGGTCTTCTACAACGAAGAGTTTGTCAAATACCCCTACGTCTAGAATTAATTTTATAGTGATGGGGACACCATACTGAAAAAACGGCACCGTCCTTCAGATGAGATGTAAAACAGAGGTCCTGACACCTGACAAGAACAGGGGTGTTACCCTGGTGTCCTGGCCAAAGTTACACCCAGTCTTTACAAATACTGGCCTCCTAATAATCCCTTTAAATTGCCCTAATCACTCTGTTGTGCTCCCCACTGATACTGTAGCTGGTGTGTGGTGAGTGGACTGGTGGTAGAGGGAGTCCCCATTACCTGTAAGGCGCCTTGAGTGGAGTGTCCAGAAAAGCGCTATATAAGTGTAAGGAATTATTATCATTATATAGCTCACTACAGTACACAATGGAATATTACAGTACACTGCAGTACACTGAGACATTACAGTATCCTGCAGTATAGTGCACTACAGTACAGTGTGGGACATTACAGTTTCCTACAGTACAATACAGGACATTTCAGTTGACTATGGTACAGTACACTGTGGGAAATTACAGTATCCAACTGTATAGCACACTATAGTACAGTATGGAATATTACAGTATCCTACAGTATAG